AAAAAAAAAAAAAAAAAAAAAAAAAAAAAAAAAAAAACCCAGACGCATCAAAAAGAACTATCGACTTCCCTTCCCCTCCCTGTTATTTCTATATATTACAGGAAAGAAGATCAAGAAAGCAGCCAGAAACCTAGCCCAAATCATTCCCAGTAGAATACCTGTCTCTCAGGGTAATTTAAGTTCCAAGGAGAATCACCCACAAGTCGACCTGTTTCTCTCCCCTCCCCCACATCCTTTCATTCTCCCAGGTATCCATTCTTCCTCCCTCGTAACCATTTGCTGCCCCCAACCAGAATTACCTATATTCCCCGTCGCCCCCTCCCTTCTAAAACGAGGGCACTGTGCGCACAGTAAGTAGGTTTTTCTCCGACTAATCCGCCTTGCTGTGAGCTGATCGGTCAGCGAACCCTCTGGGGCCAAGGGGAGGTTTCCTCTCACGCCCGCAAGTCTGGTCTAGATAGAGAAGCTGCCGCAGAGTTGGAACTAAAATCGCTTTAACACTCCGGGAGCTTCCAAGGGAGGGAGAAGTGACAGTGAAGTCACCGAGGCCCGAGACGGAAGGGGAGCCCCTGGCTGCCCAGCAGCAGCCTGAGTCTGCAGCTTGAGGCTGCGGTGGTAGAAGAGGAGGCTGATGTCAGTCTGCTTTGCTGGGCTTGAAATTCGATTTTAAGCGTGCGTAGGTGGGCAGTAGTTATAAACAAGAGCCAGTCTTCCTCTCCGTGTCCTTGTGACGCGTTGAGCTGTTGTGCTGGCGGCAGCTGCTTCAGACTCTGAGAAGTACAGCGACCCCAGCGCCAAAAGGTCACGGGAGAGAGACATTTTTAGCAACCCGAAGGTCGTCGGTCGGTCTTAGATTTTGCAAGCAACCTGAAACGTAGCGCCGCCCTCTGCTTTGGTTTGGGACTTTGCATGAGACTTGAGATTTTGAATCTGGATGAAAAAAAATAAAATCCATTTTCTGAAAGGAAAAGTTAGAAAATGGCAGAATAACGTTGACTCTTTCCTGACCCGTGTGGCTCACTGGGAAGTATTAAAACCTCCCTCTGTGTTCAACCGTCAGGTGTGGCCCACGCTGCTTGGATCTGCGTGAGTGGAAGTTTATTCCACACTTTCCTATTGGCATTGAAGACTCAGAGCTTTGCCACTTTGGACTTCCCCTTTGTGAAGCAGAGACTATGGAACACTTTGTATTCTTTGAACACACGAGAATTGTAACCCTTGGAAACTATTAATTGCTTTTTGCTTTTTTCATTTAAATATTTTTCTTAAGGCTTGGTGTTGTGATTTCATAAAGCCCGGGAAGGAAGTATTTTATTGCACGGACTCTCGAGCGAGCACTGTCGGGGCAGAGGCGTGGTTCCGGTGGGGGAGTAACCAAAGGCTGGTGTGGCTGAGCAAAGGTTTTTAAAAGCTCAGGTGACGATTCATGTCGTGGCAGGAGCTATACACACAGGTGTTATGAGACGGAAGAGTGTTGTGTGCTGGAAACATGAAAGCAGGCACTCAAAGTTGTCAGCAGCGCTTTAGGAGATGAACAGGTTTCCCCCCAGCCCTTCTTTTCCTCCCTGCAATTTATAAAACTCAGATAAGTAAAGTAAAGGTGTGCAGGAGATAGAGAAAATGAGATCTGATGGGAAATTTTACAGCGAGCCTTCAAGCCTAGCTACTTTGATGAGAAAAACTCATCAAAAGGATATCTGAAAGTCGGGGAAGGCAGGTTAAGTCAGGAGCCAGGGAGCTTTTGGTGTTCTGCAGAGCAGAGGAGTCAATGGGCAGAGGAGTTCCCATGCTACGCTCGTTGCACCTGTGTTGGGTTTAGGAGCAAGGATGATGCTCCGAAGGGAAGTCACAGGAGAGTTGGCTTCTGTGCGGTGGGGGCAGTGTGGCCCCCCTGCAGCCCCAGGTGGTGGCCTGCAACTCGGACATGGCTGGTTTCCTGCACCTGTGCTCAGAGAGCCGCACGGAGCCGTGTTTTCAGACCAAGCCACCCTGTGCTGGGCACAATCTGGTCTTTTAAGTCATGTCTCAACGTTTTAATATTCCTGTTCATTTTTTTCCTGGAGTGCTATTTTGTGAATACAAACTCTTCTCCCAATGGTTGGATTCATATACCAATCGCCAGTACATCTAAGATTCGCTCCAGCTCTGTTACAACCATGAAAAGCCACTCCCAGCATCATCCTCAAAGCCAAGGGCGACAGCCGCAGGCTCCGAAGATAAAGCCGATTTTTAGCACTTGAGAAACTACTCACACAACCGGTGTCTAGATAAAATAACTCTTCCTTTGAAGTCAGGTCAAATGGTTGAAATGTGAGCAGGTTTAAAATCTGGTCTCGTATGCAGTTTGCTAAACTCCTGTGTGAGATTCGGGACTGTTAGTTAATGAAGATCTGTGATCAAACTCAAGGCCTGATTCTGAGGATGGGACCCTTTGACCCCGGGCAGGATGGCAGCAAGATCCTGGAGACACATGATAACCTTTGGTTTTTTAAAGTTCTCTAGAGAAATAGATTCTCTTGAACTCATTCATGAGTTGAACAGCCAGTCCTCTAAGGAAAGCCAGCACACTGTCTTCATTTTTAGGTAAAATAATTCCAGTCTGAGTTTTCTACTGTAAATTCCATCACTGTTAAACACAGTCAAGATATTCAAGGAAATGACTTGGGTCCTTAAGGGAATAAAAGGTGAAAATGTCAAATCGCGTGTGGTGTATGAAACTGTAAGGTCATGCTTATAAAATATTTCATGGTGTAACTACTTCCTTACAATATTTCTCTGTGGGCCTTAAATGAGGAAGCCATATCATTGGCCATTTTGTACAGCTCAAAACTGAGGAGTGGTAAAAAACCTTTTCACCTGATTTCTTACCCCCTGTTCTAAAATGAAATGGGGAACGGAAACAGTTGAGTTTTAAGGTCTAGCCTTAAAATTCTGAGTCACACTGACCAGCATCCCATTCTTGTTTTGTGTGGGAAGGGAAATTCATGCAACACCGATAGGGAAAACTGGCTGACATTTCCTGTAAAGAAGCAAACGCTCCTTCCTAACGGTTGACATCAGAAATCCCACCCCAGGGCACCATCTTATGCGGCAGTTAGCGCACTCATCTTAAAGTGTTTGCTCTGCTTAGTTTAGCTTTCTGAACGACAATCTCACATCTACTTCCTTCTGATCTATGCATTTTATTGGGTCTACCTCCCCTCGAATGTCTTAACTATGAGTGTGATTAGCCATGCCAGACTCAGTGGGTGGACAGTTCAGAGAATCAGCTGGTTGGGGTTTGGCTGGACTGTGGTGTGAATGGTGGGTGTCAAAGGCCGTGACTTTCTCTCGGAGAGAGCCAGTTATTTCTTCTTCACAACAAAGAAGAAGAGAAAAAAAAAAAAAAGACACAAAAAAAACACTACACAACAAGACCAAGGAGGTTCTGAGGAAAGTGAACAGTGGTCTGGTTCTAGTTTAATGAGCCGAGGTGCATGGACAGCCTAAAGCCAGTCCAGGCAGCTCCAGGGAAAGCCTAGCGTCCGGCGGCCTTGGCAGGCTGAGGCTGGGTTCTGTGTCAGAACAGTGTTCTGACAGTGTTGCCTCAAGCTGCTGAGACTTTCTGAAGGAGGAGTTATGCCATAATCGCCTCTGTCACCCTGGCACCCTGGCATGGTTTTTGCTATATGGTGTGTATGTAGCAGGTCTGCTAGAGCTGCTGTCACAAAGTACCGCAGAATGGGTGGCGTAAACCAGAGAGGTTTATTTCTCTAGTGCTGGATGCTGGAAATTCAAGAGCAAAGTGTGAGCAAGGTTGGTTTCCTCTGAGGACTCTCTCCTTGGTTTGCAGATGGCCACCTTCTCACCATGTCTTTTTCCTATTTGTCCCCCCTGGTGTCTCTTCTCTTCTTATGAGGACACCAGTCCTAGAGATCAGGGCTCCACCCTTCTGGTCTCTTTCAATCTCAACTCCCCCTCTAAAGACCTTATCTTCAAATACAGTCAACTGGGGATTAGGGTTTCAGTTTTGGAGCGGGGAGACACAATTCAGTCCATAAGAGAGAGTATTTACTCTATCATTGCTTTTTAAATAAGGAAAAACGTTAACTATTTTCTAGCTAGTTTCTCTGCTGGTAAATGAGAGAGGTCACAATGACAAGTATCTGTCGTTATTGTTGCAGGTAATCATAGGGTTTGCTAAAGAGGCCTCAGCAAACGTGGAATTTTTCAAATGATTTAAGAGGAATTATCACTAGGACTTTTTGGTGGTCACGTTTGATCTAGCAAACCTGGGATTCCAACCCTTGTGTTGGGGCCTCGGGAGCCTGTGACAACCCCGCCGTCGCTAAT